TGTTCTGCTGTTACACAACTTGGTTAATAACCCAAAGTTCAAGAAAATTTAAATAAAATGTGGTTACAGTAGATCTTTTTCAAAATATGGAACAGACCAGGGAGTCTGGAAACACCCTTGAGGGAAATGAAAGTAGTCCTGGTAAAAAGGAGCTGCTTTTCTTTTGTGTGGTTTGTTTTTGGTTTATTTTTTTTTTGGTTGGTGCTGATGTTTAAGTTTCACAAAGTTAGCTGAGTCATGTGCCATACTTTGCTGCTCTTGCTTCATACCTCTTAAAGCTCAATATTGCCTCAAGTTGCTGCTCTGCTCGGGAAGTGACACTCAGCTACTTTCAGTGCTTAAGTACAGTTGATTGTGGTTCAATCCTTGTTCAAGCCACAGAAGGATTCTCCTCCTTAACCTCCCTCCTTGGATTAATTCTGCGTCCTGTCCCTCTTGCTGCTTCACGCAGCGGGCCTGGTTTGCGACACCTCCCCGCGCTGCAGAGAGCAAGCTTTGCTCTGAACGTGTACGCAGCGTGAAACGCAGGCAGCTTCGCTTTTAATGCTCCCGATCTTGGTGATAGATGTTTGGACGCTTAAAAATAAGTTTGAATTCCAGAAAAGTGAGATTTTTGCACTCCAGAGACAGTTTCTCAAATAATGTGTTCATTTATTATTTGCTCAGATATTGTTGGCTTTGACTGATAATGCAAAAGCGTGTTCCTGTCCCGGGTAACCTGTTGAGCTGCAAATTATTTTTAACTCCTGAGAGTTCCTGAAGAAATCTCTGTTTTACTCTAACAAGCTGCAGTCTTCAGGAGTGTTCTGCATTGTGATATTGCATGTTAATAGCATTGATTAACTGTCAGGCAGTGGGAATTGATGAGAAAATGTCCATTGCAAAATTAAATGCTATTGCTGGAGCCCGTACCGTGCTGCTGGCTAGGGAGGTGACTAGCCCCGGTAGTCGGTGGTAGGAGTATTAATGTGAGCTCCAGGTTTTCTCGTGTGATTAAAACAGACCATCTGTTCTTTGTTAAATGTTTACAAAAACAGCTCTTCTCTAAAAGATTTAAAGAGATGTGGGTCTAGTAAACACACCAATATTTTTGAGCACCTTTTTCACCTTTTTCAAATAACACCAAAAATAATTCTGCTGCAGTATGAAATAGGATGAATACCTATTTGTGTTTACTGTTCCACTGTTTTTTTCCCTGTGGAAGATTAAATTCTGTACCAACATACTAAATTATGGCTTTGTTATGACTAAAAGCGATTTCTGTGACGTATGCAGATAAATTTTTCAATCTTTTGGTAAAAACTTGTAAAATACTTTTTTTTTTTTTTAATTTTGTAAATGGAAAATGGGGTTCTTTCAATTAGAAATTGTGACCCTGTAACTAGAGTTAATCCTTTGTAGATTTAAAGAAGTAGAACTATTTGAAATAATTCCCTGTGGTAGGCTTAATCTAATATTTACTAGTGAAAGCCTGTTCTTCCTTTTCTCTCTTCTTAAGAAAGAGCAGACCACTGCTTTGGGGTAAGAAAATGCATCTTTCCAGCTGCTTCTGACCTCCTCTTCTCACTAGATTTGTGCTGCTCCTACACAGCTTCACACTAGGGAGCAATGTGGGGTTGTCAGTTAGGGATCAACCGTTCTAGCATATTGCAAAAGTCTAGGCACAGACTTCCTAGAAAAATGAAGTTAATCACACCCATTTCTTTGAACGAGTGCTACAATTTAAAAGATGACATATAAGTGAATTGCAAAACGTGCCAAACTGCAAAGGGAGCGGCGTGCAGCTAAAGTAATGCATTTTCAAGTAATAGGAAATATGACCAAAGCCTAATGAGGCTTTTTGTAGCTTAATGTTTTGGGGATCATGAATGATGTGAAACAAACCCATGGTATTTTATTTTGTAATGCACATAACTTGGTACTGTAAATCGAGTCCGGTTAAGTTTTGGGTTTTTTTTAAAATATTTTTCATGCGTAACATTTAAGTTAATGTATAGCCTAGGTTGTTTCAGAGGCTGAGAACGACTCCTGTGGACAAGCTTTCTGAGGTAGTAAGAATCTGGATTTTCACAGGATGGCCTCTCCCAGAACAAGTTACCGCGTGCTGCAGCGTGGCAGCAGTCGCTGCTGTTCTCGGTGCTTTCCCTTCTGGCCAGACCTGACGGTAGAACTACAAATGTCAGATCACGAAGGGTGGCTGTGGCTGTTGTGGAGCTTGGGAAGCCGTCTGCCTGGCGCTCAGGTTGTCTTGTGGCGGTGCTGAAAGCTACTGTTCAGACTTCTAAAACAAACAGACCAAAAAACAACCCACATGTCTTACAAAGAAGACGGGGTTTAATTTTTTAAATAAAATTTAAAGGTAATGAGAATACTCAAGCATGTATAAAACTTCATACTGACTTCAGTGACGTGGTCATGTCACTAATGAAGGTGCAACCTCGAAAATTTTATAGAATTAACTTTACGTGGCATTACTGGATTTCTTGTGGTTTTTGATATTTGTTGGCTTGGCTGTTTCACGTGCTTAAGAGGAAGAAAAATAAACTATCGATTCTGATTTGTTCTAGAAAGTTGTGCGTCACACACTAGCTTTTAGGTAGTTGCAAAAAGTCTCTCTTATACGGCAAACAGTAGTGCCAAGCACAAGGTACTTGCTCAATACAAATTTTATATATCATGGAAAGAAAAACTTAGGTGTCTTATATGTTAAACACAGCATGTCATCAGTATTTAAAAAGAGGACTGAGTATTGTGGTGAACAGCTCGGTGAAGACATTGATGAAGCTTGCACTCGAGGCCTCTGAAAAATGAAGGATGCACAAGTACATAGTGGCCTGAGGTACAGAGAAGACAGTTTTGTTCTGTGTCACAGAAGAACTCTGAGGAGACATTGAACTCAGTTAACCAAATTCAAAACCAATTAGAAGATTGTAAAATATCGCTGTTTTATGTAATGTATAATTGGACTGCAGAACTCAGTGGCAGCACTGACTGCCTGGGATCAGTGTTTTCTATACAGATCCCCCAGCCTTTGTGAACTTCCCAGCGTTATGGTGACGGCAGATTTCTAGAAGAGGTGTTGGTCCATGCTTCAGGATGCCTGAGGCTGCCTTGAGGTGGGGCTGACTGATGTGGTACCAATGCAATGAGTGCATCAGACTTGCATTGGAGCTGAATTTCCACTGCAGCGAAGACCCTGTTGCACTAAAAAGTATCTTAATAAACAGGTGGAGGACAGAAACATGCAAGACTCACCCTGGAAGTTCCTGGTTAAGCCAAGTAGACCCAGATCTTCAGTCCATCGCTAAGGCCTGCCTTCTTGTCCTGGACTCTCCTCCATGAAGATCTGTAGTGTCTAGTTTGTGCCATTCACACCTCTCCCAAAGAGTAATAAAGACGTGTCTTCACTTCTTGACAGGGCCTTCTGCTGCTTGGGTAGCCTCTGAGCATGGGAGTGTATTCAGAGCACAGGGGTTTTTTGCTACTGTGAAGAAATGCTGACAATAGTTAGGACTGCACTGGTTCGGTTTGTTTACGTTCAGAAAATTATATTAATATATTTGGAAAAATTCACGTGTTCACTTTCTCATATAATGATATTAAGAATTTTATTCCCTAAATCTTAAGTGCATTGTTTTTTTAGATCCAGGTGGCTAAAGTGTATGTGTGTGCCCATCAGTTCTCCTGACGCTCAGGGCTTGGGTTTGTGGCCATTCGTTTGCACGCTTGCCACTCCGAAGTAAATGCGGTCTGAATAAAAAGCAGAGAAAAGGAAATGCGAATAATGTTACAGTTAGTGCTGTTCCTAGAAGTAAAATTCTGATTTGCCACAAACCTTTCTTCTCCCCAATGCAATGGATCAAACCCCTCAAATGGCTAAGCTTTGGGACTGCGGCTAATGGGGACTGCTTCCACCTAGGATCAGCCTGACTTAATTTTTAGGGAAGAGAAAAGGAGGAGAAACAGGGAGAGAAAGAGTGGGGAGGAAATGGTGTGACTGTATATGCAGTTGCAAGAGAGGCATCAGTACGGTGTCATGCCATTACTTTTCTTCTTGAAAAGCGCTGTCGGCCTGCATTATAACCAGGGGCAGGCAGTGAGGAGAAGCAGGTCAGAGCTTTGATACGCTGCAAAGTCATGGTGGAGCTTGGGTGTTTTTTCATTGCAGACTCACGGACCTTTGTGTAGAACAGAGCCATTAAGAAGAAAAGAGGTGCAAATGCATCCAGTATGTTTAGTCCAGGCACTTGCCATTTGTGTAATTACGCATCATCTTTCTTGTACTTTAAGTCTGGTGTAAACCTGCTACGCTGCAGACTGAAATCGGGAGTTTTTGCAGGTTCACCAACACTTACAGTAGTTCTCTGTCCAATCTGCAGCAGGAACAAATCTGTCTCAATTACAAGTAGGGAGCTGTGGAGCTTTGATAGAAAATGTAATGTTATATTACATTTTAAAGTGGCCTAATCCTTCACACGCTGATCAGAACACCTCCTGTCACAGCTGAACCAATGTAAATTGCCTTGATAAATTTATTGTAAATACAGCCTGTGAATATAATCTTTTTTTTTTTTTTTTCCTTTGCACGTCTAGAAACAAACTTTAACAATTTCTTTTCCCGCAGGACAAAATTCCCGTGCAACTGAATAATTCGTAACAAGTTATTCGTTCTGCTAACAACTATTTTGAAGTACCTGAAATAACAATGGGTTTCCTTTTGCACCTGAATGTGAATACTGTAAATATTTTCTATGCTTCCACTTTACAAACAAGCTTCAGAGTAATTTTACCCTTGCTCTGTCAAGAATTTCTGGTCGTTTTGCTGTTTTAACTGCAGAAAGCTTTGGTTTTTACTGGTTTACTGTACAATGTTTCAGATATACTACTAGGTTAATCTTCTGCTTAGTATTTTCTCCCTCTGTAACCTCTGCTCCAAAAGAGCAAAGTTTTCGAAATCAAAGTTGCAAATCTACAATTTTATTTCTGTTTGTCTCTCTCAGCATTCTCCATCGGAACCCTTTTTAGAGAAACCAGTGCCGGATATGACTCAGGTTAGTGGACCGAATACCCAGCTAGTGAAAAGCGATGATTATCTGCCATCAATTGAGCCGCAGCCACAGCAAAAGAAAAAGAAAAAGAAAAACAACCACATTGCTGCAGAAGGTCCCAGTAAAGGTTTTGGTAAGGAAGACTTTCCTGGGGGACTTGACAGCCAGAATCTAAGCAGAAACTCAGTGGATTGCTCCCAAGAAGAGAAGAAGAAAAAGAAAAAGCCCAAGGCAAAAAAAGAACCGAAGGATCCTAAAGAACTCAAGGAAAAGAAGGAACCCAAGACCCCCAAAGTCCCTAAGACCCCTAAAGAGCCAAAGGAAAAGAAAGCAAAAAATACCACGCCAAAATCCAAGACCAGCAAAAAGGCTAGGTAAGTCAGGAAACTTCTATATGCGGGCAGAGAAAAACAGTGTGTTTGTGGGATTTCTAGAGCATCTGTGCTAAATGGCGTGGGTGGAGAGGAAATCTTGTGTTGTTTGCCTTCTACCATCTACATCATGATGTTTTTGAGGAACTTGGGCACATTTCTCTTGTTTGGCTTTCCTGTTTATGGCTTCGCAGTTATTTTGAACAAGCTGGAAAGGCAGAAGGTTAATCTTTCTTTTCAAGGCATAAAGGTTTCTGGATGTGTTAGTTTTCAAAGTGAACTCTTTCTCTTCTAGTGCTCATCTGTCCTCGTGTGTGGTTTGTGAATTAAGACTTTAAATTGCTTCAACATTAATGTAGGTTTGGCCAAATCCAGAGATGAAGGCATAGAGTAAAAAGGTCTGATGACCTTTTTCTTTCTGTAAATAAGGTAGTACGTTGGGTACTTTGTACTGTTACAAGTGGTACAGCCCTTACAGACGCTGTTTTGTACTGACACAACCCATGGGCTATAAGCTCTGCTGTTAAAAGGGCATTTTTATACAGATATTCACGTATGGTTACTGTAGGGTTTATATTAATTTTGCTGTTTCATGTAAACACAGTTTTCCTAGCAGAAAATCTTTGTGGATAGACCAGATGCTTCAGCCCTGTTTCTTCACTGGGCATCGTGTCCCTTTATCGGGATAGGCTTCAAATGCTACAGAGTGGTATGAGAGAGAGCAAACTGCCGTTACACATGAGTAAATACGTCATAGGTAATAACAGAGATTCTGTGAGCCTTACCCCTCAACTCCCTAAACACCATGATTATAAATGTCTACTTGAAAGAAAACCGAGAGGAAAAAGGCATTAAAGCTCAATATTTTTTTTTCATTTGTACCTAGAATTTCTTACAACTGTTCTGAATTTGTTCCAAACATCTGAATCTGTTTTTCAAGATGTGGCTAGCGTTATAAAATATAACTTCCAGATGGAAGCACAGCCAGACTTGGTTAATCCAAATCAGTTTGCGAAATCCATTTGTATTAGGGTTTAAAAATTGCAATTAATGAATCAGCTTTGCATATATTCTACCAGACTGACTACTGGTTGGGTTTGATACAGCTACCTGGCTAACTGAGGCACGGATAGTAGGATGTTACTTGTTCCTTTAGCAGCAAAGAGAAGTTTCTGTATTAGCAGAGGTGATGTTTCCTGAAGACTTTCTAAACACTGGCTTGTGAAATGAAAAGTTGTCCTGAACAGGTTATATTGACTGTTCAGTAAACGACAGCTGGTCAGCCTGTCCCTGCTGCAGAAGGTACTTCGGCTGTGTTCCAGGCTCTCCTAAGGATGGGCTTTACACACACAGCAACTCACAGCCTAGAAAAAGTTACGTATCTCCCACTACGCAATTTTGAAACCAAAATACTGTATCAGCTAAAATAACCTTTTTGTTCCATTTCCCTGTACTCACAGGTTTAAAGGCTGGCCAGGCCAGATTGCATGGTATTGAGCATCTCCCGGCAATTTTTGCCACCGAAAAGTAAAAAGTCTTCTACTGCAGGACTCTAAATTAGTGCGGTTTTAAAGGTCTTGACTAGAATGAAGCTTTGTTTAATAAGCAATGGTTAGAAGGAGCCTGCTTCAAAAACCCATCTGGGTTCCTGTGCACATCAGACCTCAGAACTGGTCTATCCCGTCCACTCAACCCTTTGTGCATCTCCTCTAAACCCCGGGATGTGCTGTGCAGGTTAAAGGAGCGGTGTTTCCTTTGCAGGAACAAATCACTGCTTGCTTAGTTGCCTTTGTAGTAGAGTCTTTATCTTCTTTCTGGTCCCTGGGTGGCTGGATGACTGGCAGTATTCTAGAAGTACTAAGCCCTGTTTTTTTACCCGAGAGAAGCATGTTTGGAGCAGCACTAAGAGCATTTGCTATTCCTTACGCTTACTCAGGGGTGTGGAGAAAGTCCTACTTTTCCCATAATGGGCTTGTTTCTCTGTTACCAAATGCTCTCTTGAACACAAGGTTGTTCTCATTTTGTGGTCTTGTCAGCTCCAGTACCAAACGTCTCTGAAGAACTCTGAGACAGCGCTGGGATGCTGTGCTGCCAAAGAATTTTAAATCGGCGAAAGAACTTTGCTTACTTTGGCGATATCACAGACTGGGGAACCTGTGCAGTGACAGATCGTTGAATCAAGTTTTTAAAATAAATCAACAGGCCAAACATTTAATCATCTGAGCCACGGTATTTCAGCAGCACTAACTCTGGAAAGGAAATATTATAGTAGCTGAGAGGAGTGAGATTAATGCAAGTTAATACAGATTGTGAATGATTATGTAAAATATTTTGATAAAGTTAGTGTCTGGCATGCATTTACTACTACTGCTTATATTGCTCAGTATTTGGTTCTAAGTTTTGAAAGGAGTAGTGTGATTTTTAGGCTTCTAAATGATGTGCAAAACTGACGAGTTTCATTCCCAAATAAGCTGATCGGTTTTAATAGAAGAGTTTTGCACTGGTGTAAAATTCAGGTAAATAAAGTCAGACATAGGAGGTGTGTTTATTGAAGAGCAACAGTTTTTTGGATAGAGCATAACAAGTCCTTGATAGTTTTGACATGACACAGGCTGGATTAGAGTACACACATAGATAAAAAAATCTGGTAGTGAAGGATTTCAACCATTTTGTAATTTCATATAGCTCATAATTTAACCCTGTTATTTCAGCTCTGATTTTGACCAACAGTGTATAATCCTTTTTCTTAAACAACAAAAAAAACCCAGAAACTTTATCCTTCACGTCTTGTCTATCTTTGGTGGGAGTTGTGACAAAATGAGCAGCTTGCCTCTCCGAACTGCCCCTCCAAGTGAGGGACAGCAGTCAGTCTGGAGAATGGGAGAGGCTGATTCATTTCATGCCTGTTTGAATCGTGTGTCCCATGACATCTCAAAAAGAAAGAAAACGCCCAAGTGGGCTGCTAGTGTGTCATGCTGCATACCTGGTGATTTTGAAAGAAAGATGACGTGTTGATGCTGTACTTTTACACTGGTAATGGGTATTAGCCCAAGCCTGCCAATACAGAAAGACAAATACAGTGGTGGCTGGGGAAAAAAAAATAAATTTGCAAAACAAATTGACCAAACTAGTCGTGTTTGAAAGCAAAATGCAGTTATACCTAGGCCCACAAATGGATGTTTTTCACTAACTTGTGCAGGAGTGTTACGTGGGCTCTTAATGTTACGGAGCCAGCTTTGGGAACGTGCAAAGCAGGCGAGTTTTTCCAAAAGTGGATGGACAGGGAGGCAAGCAGTCCTGCCGAACTGCAGAGTCATGGCTCAGATGTCCGCTCCTCCTGCGCCCGTCCCTGGAGGAGATGAGGACCACCTGTTTGGGAAGATCACGCTGCGGCACAGCTGATGCCTCTCCCGCTGCTTCCTCTGAAACCCTAGAGGCCACCGATGGCGGCGGGAGAAGCAGGAACTATTCGCGAGGGCCAAATGGCAGCTCTTTGCAGGAGCTTGTCCCTCCTCCCATCTCAGAGCAGTGTGCGCTGTGTTTTGCAGGGCTGCTCTTATCTGCTTCCTCCCCTCCCTGCGGCAGGGGAAACTCTTGGTCCTTCCCACGCGTACAGCAGCAGCCTGGGATGCAGGGTAGGGCGACGGCTGCTGCTCGCAAGGGGCGAGCATAATGACCTCTTCGAGAGGGAAGCGGCGACTGATTCTGTTGGCACCCGGACTGGCTTTTTGTTGGATCGGAAAGGGGATGGCTGCTGGCCGCGGAAGCGGGGGAGCGGTGCAGGCAGCAGGACGCAGCGCCCTGGGGAGCTGGAAGGCAGGAAGAGGGGTCCCAAAGCGGTGGTGGTGGTGGTTTCCCCTCCCAACCTGGGATTGTCCTTGTCAAGGCAGGAAGAGGCTTCTGCAGGAGAGGATGGGAAATTGTGCGAGATGTCCGTGTGTGGCTCCACCAGGGCTCTTCTCTTCACGCTGTCCTCATCCCCCTCCACCCGGCCCAGCGGCCAGATCTGCTGCAGGCAGGCCTTGTGGGCTTCCCCAGCATGATTTGGAAAAAACCTTGTCCTATTGTTTTTCCTACTTTTGTGACGTAAAAACGGGGGGTTTTGGGGGGGGTGTGTTTTTTGTTTCGTTGGTTTTGTTTGTGGTTTTTCTTTTTCTTTTTTTTTTTTCTTTTTTTTTGTTTTGATTACACCAGGAGGTTTAAAAAAATAATTGTTTTCCTCAGGTAAGGCCGTGCAGAAAGCCTCCCTGCTCTAATGCTTTGAGAGGGTGGGATTATTATGTTTTGTTATGGTTTTGATGCTCCACAGTGGGTGTGTAACTTTTTTTTTTTCCCTAAGTTGGGTTTCAATCATGAATTTGTCACAGGACAGTGTTTCCGAATGGTAACATAGGGACCAGTAGTCCATCTGACATATTTTAGATGTTTAAATTACAGAAAAAAGCATTCTCTGAATCCTGATAGCCATCCTGAATTACACCAATAAACAGATCTGTCAGTTACCCAGATCAGATGAAGTAGTTGCACAATGTAAGCATACGGGCTAATTATTTCCCTTCCTAATCCCGCAAAGCATGCCATGCTTTTTGGGGTATTTTTGAGTCAGATGGTTTGGCCCTGTAAGTTCCTGGAGTTTGACCTAGCTCTGTAGGTGGCTGCTTGACTTAACTGACACAAAACACTGTCAAAGTTTGGATACGTGTTCTCAAATCGTAATTCAAGCTTTTTTCTTACTTGTCCTACTCGCTGTTTTCCTCTTCAGCCTGTTTTCCTTCACGTTGTTTGCTCATCTGACCTTCTGCAGGTTGTCTTCTCGCTGATCCCCTGTGGTCAGTGTGCTGTGCAGCCCTTGGGGATAAGAGGATGAAACCAGAAAGTGGCATTGGACAGCTAGATTGTAAGACATCTAATCTGAAATGTCTGTGTTTGTATCACGTGAAGGACTAGTTTTAACCGACAGTTTTAAAATTTGTTGTGTTTTGTGTGTGGCAAATACTACTTCAGTTTCTCCCAGATTTCTGGTTCTTGGTTTGGGACTGGACTCTGTTGTCTAGTGGGACTCGGCTAAATTTTGCATTTGTGCATGTGTAAAAACAAATACAAGAGGGAGTTGTCTAAGTGTGTATGTTACAGTTTGCCTTCGCTGTTGCCAGATTTGGAAAGTACCCTCAGCGGTGCATCGATTGACAGAGACCCTGATGGCAATGGCAATCTCTAAGAAAAAGGTTTTGACCTGCCTATACTATACTTAGATGTAGAAAGGTAGGTCTGGTCCAGGCTAGCACCATTCCTGCATGATCTGCTGGGAAGTGGAAAGGCTGAGTGGAGAGTGGTATGTTTAATTGCCAGAACAGAGCGCACCGGCTCTGGGGGAAGATGGAGAGGAAGGATGCTTCCGCCGGCCTGGTGGAGCTCCTGGGTGGGTGATGCACTGGGAAGCCACGCATTGCCTCGCTCCGGGGGACAGTGCTGTCCTACGGCTGGCTGGCACCTCACATTCCTTTCTTTCCTTGGAAGAAACTGTAGGTGTGCATTTAAAAAGAGCAATTCTGAGTTTTGAACCTAGAACTCCCGGTGGAGCTGCACGTGGGCTTTGTTCTCCCCAAGTTGGTGGCTTTTATATTTTTTTCCTGTATCTGTTTTTAACGGGCCTGGTAAGGGGAGAGGTTTGACACTGCGGCCGAATCGCCTCCGCCACCTCTCCCTTCCCGGGAGGGACTCTATACGCCGGGCCCCGGCCCGGGAGGGTATATACAGGTCACGGAACACCCTTAGCTCGGGGTCCCTGCCGCTGCGAGCGGGGAAGGG